TAGAGACTTGGTTGAAGAGGTATACATGGACCAGCCAGCTAGGTTTACTGCTTAGGGGGAGTACGGTAAGAGTGTTTGCCGGTTAAAGAAATTGTTGTATAGTTTGAAGCAATCATTGAGGGCATGGTTTAGTAAGTTTTCAGATGTAGTTTTAGAGTTTGGTCTTCTTCGCTGTTAGACAGACCATTCTGTGTTTCATAGACAGACGGATGCTGGATACGTTCTATTGATGGTCTATGTAGATGATATTGTGAATACTGAAAATGATTTTGATGGGATTGCCAAGTTAAAATTTTTTTGCAAGATCGATTTCATACTAAGAATTTGAGAAAATTTAGGTATTTTTTGGGTATTGAGGTGGCTTGATCTAAACAGAGTATTTGTTTATCCTAGAGAAAATATGTGCTTGACATACAAGAGGAAACAGGTTTGTTGGGTGGCTGATCGATTGATGTTCCTATGGATTTGAATTAGAAACTGTTGATGGATAATAGTGCACTGTTTGAAAATCCGGGTCGGTATCGCAGATTGGTTGAAAAATTCAATTATCTCACTATTATTTGGCCGGATATTTCCTATGCAGTCAGTGTAGTAAGTCAGTTTATGGAGTGTCCTACAGTACCATATTAGAAGGTAGTTACTCGTATTCTGCGATATCTTAAGTGTGCTTTTGGCCTTGGACTGTTATATTAAGCTAATGGACATCTTAGAGTGGAAGGTTTATCAGATGTTGGTTGGGCTGACTTTCCTTCTGATCGGAGATCAACCACTGGTTATTGTACTTTCTTAGGAGGTAACGTTGTTTCATGAAAAAGTAAGAAACAACCCGTGGTAGTAAGATCCAGTGCTGAGGCTGAGTATAGGGCAATGACGCATACGATGAGTGAGTTGACTTGGCTACTACACTTCCTTCAGAAAATTGAATTTCCAGTTCAACCCCTTTTACAGTTGTTATGTGACAATTAGGCAGCTATCCATATCACTGCCAATTCAGTGTTTCACGAGAGAACCAAACATATTGAGGTTGATTGTCGTTTTATTTGAGACAAGATAGTAGCCGGGGAGATTATGACTCCATTTGTGAAATTTGAAGACCAGCTTGCAGATATGTTTACCAAAGCATTGAGTCGTACATGTCTGACAACAATTTGTTCCAAACTTAGATTATATAATATATGTAGTCCAGCTTGAGGGGGAGTGTTAAGAGTATTATGATAGTATGTGTAAACTGTTAAGAATATTAGGGTGTTATGTGTAAATATAAGAGGGTGTATTTGTTTTTTTGATTATTGTAAGTTAACTATAAATAAAAGTGATATATGAGAGGTAGGTTAAGGTTTTGACCCCTATGTGTTTCTCTTTAATATTGTCTCTAATATTATTTTAATTCTCTCAACTTAACACTAATCAACTCTAATCCAAATTGTTTAATTAATTTTTTCAATAGTGTCCAATGATCTGAGACTAATCCGATTTGTTTATTATTGGTGTCGTATTGATCTTGGTAAGTATAGCCTGTGAACCAGAAATCTATTATTAGGTCTCCATTCTCTCTTAGCCGAGCCAACCATTCAAAGACTTTCCATAAACTAAATATCCACTTAGCCCAAATGCTTGCAAAAAGCATGTAAAAAGTTATTCAATTCTATATGGATTCATATAGATCCAACTCGAAAAATGGAAACATTAGAAATATTTTACATATTGTACTAGCTAAAGGGATTTACCATGTCAAAATCAGATTAGTCGGTGTTGACACTAACTTGGTCTAATAATTATTATTTGTGTGAGCCGGTCCGGTCTTTTTCGGGTTGGTGGAAAAAATAGTATGTTCTAACCCATTCATTTGCTTTGATGTGTCATGCCAAAAATATCCATTCCCTACTTTTAACTTCTGATATGAAGAGATTCCTGTAATAATTTCTACGATTTCTATGATGACTTGTGGTAGCCGGAATATTTCTTCTCTAACTTGAGCAATTTGGGTTTGTTACAAGTAGATGCACTTCTCCACTAAAACTAAGGTTAACTTTATGGCCAGTCGAGAGCTACAATATTGCTATCTAATTGAAATCTTCGAGTCTTTAGACTTCATGGAGTTTGAGATTCTTCTAACTTACTCTTCTAGTATGGGGCTTTATTTTAGTGGCCTTGTTATAGTTAAAATGTGCATCGTAAAGCGCATATCCTTTTTATAAAACAATGTAGCGTGTATCATAGTATATTGTGTATCGTCAGATGCACTGAATTTTAAAGTGATATATTAATTAACTTATATACGTCTAACTATATATATATATATATATATATATATATATATATCATATTGTCCAAACGATATAAATAACGTTTCAATTTACTTATAATTTCGTGCGTTGTGTGTTAGAGAGATAGAGATCGAAAGAGAGATTGCCCTTCATGTCCGCGAAGAAATTAAAATATAGCTAGAGTTTCATCTATTTGAAAATTTGAAGACGAAGAATAAGAAGTAGGAGAAGTAAAAGAGGATAGCAGAAGAAAATGATTGCGAGCTTTGTCTGCTTGAGATCAAACCAAAAAAAGAAAATTATCCTATAAAAAACGATGCCATTTCACTGTTTAGAGTAAACAAAGTCTCGTAAAATAAAATTTTTCAACGTTTAAAGTGGAAAACTATAAAAAAGTCTTCTGCGTGTCTTTTTTACATTGTATCAAAACATATTGTAAGGTAAGTACTATGTATCGTACGACATAGTGAAAATCAATACAACTTGTTGAAATGTGTCATTTTTTCATTGTATTGTCACATATTGTAACTTATAGCATATCGTGAAATACTGACAATGGTACTTAGTAGCTTTAGTTTCATCTTCTGGGAAGGATCTCCCATTTTTCTTTTCGTATCGGTCTTTCTTTTTGACAAGTAATTTCCTCTTGGAAACAAAGGAAAAGGAAAAGAACAAAGGGTGTGGTATGCAGAATGTATTTTTGAGGGAAAGTGCTTTTCCTTTTGATTCCCACTACTCAACGCCAGATATTTTTACACTTTCAAGAGTGTTATTTAATTGTACTATCATTGAACCAATGATTGCGCACTTGCAGATTGAAATTTCCCATGTCAGTTGTGTTAGTTATGATGTCCAATGTTATTCATCAAGAGTTAAGGCTCTTCTCCAATTCCAATTGTTTGCCAGTCCTTTTCTTCTTTTTCTTTTTTTGATCATTCCAGTTCTTATAAGAGCCATCACCCCCGACAATAGATTTACCGCCTTAAGCGTTAGTGGGTGACCTATCTCATTTTATTATCCCAGCCTCTTTGTTGCCACCGGATGCCATGAACAAATGTTCATGGGAGCCATTGCTTATTCTGCAAATAAAATAGCTCATTTTAGATAAGCATGCCTTTACTAGCTTGGGACCATCTTTTGAAACCAAACAATAGCATGCCTTAGGACAAGGTTCCTCTGTTTCCTTAGTGCCATCAATGAAGAGTAAGTGCTGAATGAATCATGCATTCCCTGGACTGTTAGTGGAGTTCCAACTGGGCTTTTGGGTTGTGATAGAATTTCATTGTTATTCACTTTGATAGGACCCTTGTTTTCTTGGGAATCTGTATGGTAATTATTGCAATTTTTTTTTTTATTTGCCATGTTGCTAGTTTCTCTTTTAGGTAGACTAGGTCTTTGTTTTGGAGTACTGCTTTATATGCTTACTCCTTATGGCCCCATTGGTGCTTGTCTTCAGCTTTGATGTACTATCCAAATGTTTTGCATCAGATTGTGGCCTAATTAGAGCATAGTTATCAAATCGTGTATCGGAAGGCGTATCGTAAGATACAAATATTGTATCGTATCGTGTATCGTATCGTGTATCGTAAGATACGATGCAATTTTAAATAAATAATAAAAAAATATATATACCTTTGAAAAAAAGTCATACACTCATAAAAAATATAGCATTTCATTAATACTCCACCAACTATTCAAGTTATCAACATAATCCACTACTATTATAATGCAAAGTTCACAACCATAGTTCACTAATTCAAACTTTAAACACCAAAGAGACTTCTAATCCAAATTTCTAACATCCATTTTGAACTCAATCTTCAATTTCAATTGAAAATGCATCATCATCATCATCATTGTGATCGGATGCCAACAAGTCTTCACTTGTCGTTTTTTTAAAAAAAAAATCAGAGCACAAAACGACGTCGTTTTTTAAAAAAAAAAAAAAAAAAAAAAATTGCACGTATCGTGCGTATCGTACCGATACGTATCGTATCGTAAAAACGTATCGTGTATCGGACGATACAATGCAAAAACGATACATAACTACGATCCGTATCGTTTTAGGGCTGTATCGTAACGTATCGTACGATACGTATCGCGTATCGTACGATACTAACAACTTTGAATTAGAGTAGTTAATAAACCCTCACATGTGACTTGCTACATATTCTGCACGCTAGCATGGTGAATTGACTTTTAGAGTTCTATGATTGGTGAAATAGTGCATTGAACTGTTGGATTGTCTCCAAATTATATTTTGTGGGGTTGACAGGACATGCTAATCTGGTACGAATTTGGCAGGAGTTAGCAGTTTGGGTCGAGTCACCTCATGTTTGTTTCACAAATGGCCAAATAGGTTTACTTGACGAACGGTGTGGTATTTGGGTTTTGATTGTCAACCTGCTTAACACATTTATGACACGAACGCAGATATGGCTCCTGAAATGAATTTGATGCTTTATGACTATAACCCCCAGAACCCACCTAATCCATATTCTTTTATTTTTTTTTTATTTTCATTTTTCCACCTTAGGATAACACCTCTGTAACATGCTTAATACTTGAATCTCATCTAAAACTTACCTAATGTAACATGACCTATTTACTAAACAAGTTACACTGTCATGTTGTGCACCGTATAAAAAACAAATCGGGTTGGGTTTCGAATTTTGACCCTATTAGTTAACTTTGTTCCTAACACTTGATAGGGTGTTGATTGTGAGCCCAATAATGCTAAGGTGGTTGGGAGTCGCTCTTTCATATGCTCAGGTTGTAAATTAGGGTTACACTTCTGGCTTTATCTGTGTGAATGAGGAAGATAGAACTGGAAAAAGAAAACCATTAAAAGGATTTTATGCAACAACAATACTGAATTTTTGTACATGAAGCACTGGTATTTTATCAGTTCATTTAGGAATTGAGAGTTTTTGATTGATAGTGATTTATGGATCGTCTGATTGAGGCAATCTGACATTTTCTGCTCTGTTTCTGTGTCATTGGTGAAGTTCCTTTCATCTCTTCATCCGCTTAGCGGTCATTTCAGAGCTGCTTTGGGAAGAGAAGGTCACCTTAGGGGTTCAGTTCCTGTTTCTGCAATTGCCGTTTATGATACAAAGCTAAATAATTTATGTAAATTCCTAAATCCTGAGGTTGAGTCAAATCCATTCTTGGTGATGTTGCTTGTTCTGAGGGCTGCTGCAAAAATCCCTGGTTCTGTGTCAATTTCTGAGGACCGGCGATCAATACAAAGGCTAAATTCATACCCTCCTGAGATTATACAGTCTTTAACCGAGCAACAATCTAGCTTGCCAGAAAACATTTTGATTGAAGTAATACGGATTCCTTATTCAGCTGAGAAGCCTGTTGAAACCTTGACTCTTCATATTTCAGCTAATGGTTATTACCTGGATGTTATTGCAGCAGAACTAGGAGCACCAGATGCTTCTGAGGTTCTGGTATCCAGGTAAGAAACTGCATACATTTGGGGATTTTATTTTGTTGCGAATATTTATGTATATCTGATGATAGGATCAACCTGTTATCATTATATTGGCGCACAATTAAGAGCTGGATGATAGGAGACTTCTATCACATATGTTTTTGGATTGCCACTACACTGTTGCGTGGGTTGCACCTATGTGATATTGACAATAGCTTGATAATGTGATCATGCTGACTTTCTGAGTCTGTTATGATTCCTCTTGTAAGAGTATTTTTGTTAAAAGTGGCAGACACCTTGTACAACTGACCCTTTTGGTAATAAATATTTGATTGTAAGATTGCATGCATGTTTTTGCACTTGTGTATTTGAGCCAGTATCAAGTAAGATTAGGTATAAGAATTATTATAACTACTCATCCTACTAATTCCACATAGAGAGCACTATTTGCAACGCCCAGTGATGGGTTAATTATGCTTACCATGCATCTCATGTATGTGATTAACCTAGTTGACCAGAGTTAGGTTGCTTATAAATTCATAAAGTTTTTTTTTCTGTAAAAAAACTGTAGGCATGAATGTGGGTTGAACGGATGGAGCAGCTCTTATTTAGTTATTTCTTGTAGGACATGATAAGCATAGATAGATTTTTGTCTAATGATGGTATTGAAGAATGATGTTTCATGATTTCAAACTTAAAAAGAGATGTATAATTACTTAGACAGAAGGGTTTTGGAGCTAGGTACCTATTTTCGCAGTGGAGCATATGTTTGGCAAAGCTGGGGACTTCTTCCTTATATTGAAATACGTGTATTTTATGAATGTCTGTCTAATTTAACAGACTATCATTTTTTTAACAGGACTGTTGGCAAAGCTTCCTCTGAGACGAGATTATACTTCTGGCCTCCTGAGTCATATCTGCTGGATCTGTCAAAAGAACCATGCGCAAGAGATGCATGTCAATTTGAAAGATCTTTAAACTCCAGGGCAAGTTATTTCTCTGGTCAAGTTATATATGGTGATGCTATTTTGGCATCTATTGGATATTCACGGAGGTCTCTTGACCTTTTCTATGAAGATGTATCCTTGCGTTCATATCATAGGTCTCTTTCCTACTTCATCTGTTCTATTTTGTGCTCATTCTAACCCTACGCAATCATCCAATGCTTTTTCTCTTCACCAGAATATTTCTTCTTGGAATGTTTCCATTTCTTTAGTATATTAACTACAACAGTGATAGGGCCTGCCAAAGGTTCAGAAGATGACAGAGATAGGCTTTTTCTTTTTTTTTTTTTTTTTTTGACTCTTGGGCATTTTCTTTGCCAGTAGGATGCATAGAAGGAGCAATTATAACGTGTTTATTAAAAAGATTTGCTTTAAAAGACTGTCAAATCGTTTATGGTCCAACCAAAGGTTATTGACAAAGAAACTTGCTTCAGTTTAGAATCGAATTTTGTAAATTTGTTACCATTTCACCAAAAGATATCTGGTTGAACAGATATTGGGTTGCTGGATAGGTAATTGAATGAGCTATCAAACGGCTTTAAAATGGAAAGATTTTTGACATTTTTAAGTGTTAGAACTTAGAATTCAGCTTCCATTGCAGAAAATTTCCCTTTAGGAATTCAACAACTAATTGTGTAGCATTCCTCTAACAACATCAAACTTCATGCACTTTTGTACCATATACTGCTCACCTCTATTTTTTTCGCCATTTTGCTCAATTAAGGGGTCATGTTTTTTGTTAAAATCATAAGTTATCATATATTTCTCTACTATTTCAGTTAAAGTTAATTTTGGTCTTCATTTATCTCTACGCTTATCATGTATATCTATCACCATCACTCTTTCTCAACGGTGCCATAATAGGCCGTCTATAAATTTGTCTAAACCACCTAAGTTGATTCTCCCTCAATTTATCTCCTATATGTGCCATCTCGTTCCGCATTCTATCATTCCTACTACCATCTCTATCTTTTTTTGATAAGAAACAACAATTTTATTAACTATAAAAAGAAAAAAAAGTAGTCCAAAAACCAGTCATAAGCGGACAAGTCGTCAACCGGATGATGGTTAGCTACAAAGTCATAACCAAAACAAAAACAAGAACTAGAATTGGAGCTAGAACATTAAAACCAAATTAAACAAAGAAGCCAAGAAATAAAGCCAACCCCACAAACATTCAAATTCTTCTCATTTATTTTCAAAGATTCTCGCATTTATCTCCATCCATAATACCCAAATAGTAGCAAGGAAGGCACAAAGCCAAATGGTCTTTCCCCTTTTATTTCCTCCCAAACCTCTAAAGTTTGAGCAAATCTTAGAAGATATAGATCTCGGAGCCGTCCAACAAAGGCCAAAAAAGTCGAGTATTTTGTTCCATAGTGATAAAGCTATATGACAAATTCACACTCTCGTAATCTCATCTACACGTAGCGCACCATTGTGGTAAAATACAAGTGTTAGGTCTTCTTTTTTGAAGTTCATCATTGGTATTGATTTGTCTATGATCAATTATCCATGTACAAACCTGCACCTTTAAAGGAACTTTGGCCTTCCAAATCTTGAATGATGGATAACATAATGGAACAAAAGAATCTTCAATTAAGGACTCAAAGTAGAATTTGTAAGAGAATACACCCGAAGGATCTTTCCAAAATCATTTATCCAAAGAATTTTGGGACAAAGAAACATTATTAAGCATAGAGAGATTGGAAAAGTTGCTAAAGATGCAATGCACTTTCCATGATAAGAAGAAATATGATAAAGGTGAGGAAATAGACTAGAAAAGGAATCTTTGTCATGTTTCCCACCTCAACTTTGCCACCTCTACTTTTGTTTCTTATAAAAAAAATAAATTAAGCAATTAGTTTAGGATCAAATGACAAAAATGTTTCATCAGTTTATATGAATGGATGGATGCTCTTTATTTTGGTTGTTGATGGTGAGATCCTACAAAATTTTATTGAGAGTTGAGTGCTGGGAAGTACGGATATTGACATGGGTGTTTTATCCGATACGACACGGGCATGGAGATATGATAAAGTTTAAAAATATAGGACACAAGTACGATAAGGATCCGACTAATTAAAATAATATAATATATTTTAGATAATAATAGAAGTATAATATATTAAAAATAAAACATTTTACTATAATATTAATAATAAGACCTAACAAATATTATTTTTTTGATTAAAATAGATAAAAATAAACATATACTATTTTCATCAAGTATCATTATATTCATTAATATTCATAGTATATAAGTTACATAATAAAAAAAAAAAAATGACACTCCTCTTAATCTAAGAAGCACGGATACGAATACGAGACACAAATACGACATGACACGGACACTCAGATATGACATTTCTCAAAACAGTAGGACACGGATACGTTGAGAATATACTATAAAAAATTATATTTTATATATGACATTATAATATTGCAAATATAGTGATAAAGATATGCAATTCATAAAAGATTCAGTATTTTATGATAAGTAAATCTTATGTGTCATCTGTGTAAATTTTTAGACTAAAGTATCATCATAATAGTCAATAATTATCAATTTTTTTTAGACAATTTGTACTTAATATATAATTTAAATAATTGTTCTCATTTTCTCAATTTTTTTTTTAAACTTTTATGTATCTTTTATTTTATTATTATATTTGGAGTACAATTTTAACTTGTCTAGTATTAGTAATATGTTCTGAAAATTTGAAACTTTGTTGATCACATTTTAACACATGTTTATTGTTTAATAGTATACACATTTTAAAGAAGTGTCGGACAAGTTCTAAAGAATCATCGGACACATCACCAAAGAAGTGTCGGACACATGTCCGAAATTAAAATTTTTTCATTCTATTATGGACACGGATAAAAGAGTATTGGACATGTGTTCGAGAGTGTTGAAGAGTGTTGGTGTCCGACACGGATATGTTACGTTCTTAAGAGTATCCGTGCTTCATAGCTTTTAATAATTAATAGTCATTTTGAAAAAAAAAATCTTGGTCGTGTCCTAGCTATATCCAACCGAGTTCACTATTCAGGAGATTTCTAGCTGTGTTCGACACTGCCACGACATCCCTTGAGGAAGTTTCCGTGCTTCCTAGGTTGAGTGTAATTGTCGAAACCTGTCGAAACCCCAAGGAAGGTCAGTCTTGTGTTCAGAAATTTCTTGTATCTAACATGATTTTTTGTTTTTTTTCTTTTGTGTTAGAGTGGCATACTCAACCGTAGACTTGCATAGATATCTGCAGCTACAATATCCATTTTGAATGTTATTTTCTGGTTATTTAGTAGTTGATGTGTCTTATGTGATGGATTAAACATTACAAAAGTTTTTGCTTATTAAATACCTCACAGATTTCTTACTCAATCATAATAAGCATGTTATTTTACAGGTTACTTATCTATAAGATACCTAGCGGAATTTATAAGTTGTCAAGAGAGGCAATGCTTGCAGCTGAGTTGCCTGTAGCATTCACTACGCGAAGCAACTGGAGGGGTTCCTTTCCAAGGGAGATCCTTTGTACATTCTGTCGTCAGCATCGTTTATCTGAACCTGTCTTCGATACTCTAAGTGATACCATGGAATCTTCGCCAGACTTACCTGGATCATGGAAGAAGTTGAAGGTTACAGAGTCTGGTAAAGAAGAAGTTAATGGAGGCAGTTTTGTCGTTGGTAGTAAGGAACCCATGGGATCTGGAGGAACCTTCAGATGCGAGGTGAAAATATTCTCGAAGTCTCAGGATCTGATTATACAGTGTTCACCCAAAGGATCTTATAAGAAACAGAGTGATGCCATCCAGAATGCAGCTTTGAAAATTCTGTCATGGTTGAGCACATATTTTAATAATCCAAGTATGTCTTCAGAGAAGTTGGCCTCAATTGGGAGTGAACTTGAAATCCAGTTTTATCCCCTCTTTAAAGAGTTTGTGTTGTGCCCTTCTGTACATAATAATTGGAAAAGCATTGGGACTCAAGCATACAGATTATTAAATTATAACTGCATTAATGAACCAAATGCTACGCTGGAAGATAGCGTGTCGTCTATTAGCATAGAAGGTCCAGGGTCTGAAGTCACTCCATCAAGTGGGTCTTTGGCATGTATAAGTTATAGCATCTCTTTGGTGGCAAAAGACAAAGATATTAGAGAGCGTCTTGAAGGTAGTGAAGAGTTTGAGTTTGAGATAGGGACTGGAGCTGTGATTCCGTGCCTTGAATTGGTTGTCACACAGATGTGCATGGGTCAGTCTGCTCATTTTAAAATGGATTTGCCTCCTCAAGAGTTAATTTTGGCTGTTGCTGGTGATTCTGCAAGAACTTTTTCATTACTGTCTTCAGGTGAGTTCACTCTATATGAAAACTGTTTCATAAGGTTTTCACTCTACTTGTTAGGCACCTGTCTGATGAAGAAAAATTGCATTTTGCAACTTGACATGTTTTAAAAAATTGGACTAGCTATTTCCTTGTATTAAAAAATCTATCATATTTTTTAATGAGGCAGGATGCTGTATCTTGGATTACACTATATCTTTGTTGAGGGTGACGGAACCCTTGGAGGACAGAATGGAGCAGGCTCTATTTAGCCCCCCTCTATCAAAGCAGCGCGTTGAATATGCATTACAACACATTAAAGCATCTTGCGCTGCCTCTTTGGTATGCATAAATAGTTTCTTTTTTTTTTTAAATAATCTGCAAGGTTGATGTAGAGCTTTCAGATTTATCTTCGTTTCCATTGCAGGTAGATTTTGGATGTGGCTCTGGAAGTTTGTTGGACTCTTTGTTAGAATATCCAACTTCTCTGGAGAAAATTGTTGGTGTTGATATTTCAACGAAAAGTCTTGCACGTGCAGCAAAGGTGTGAAGCATTTGCAGCTGCCGAAATGAAATTGTTACTATTATTATTTTTGAATTTGTGTTCCCCTTTTACTCTTCTTTTATTTCAAGTTATTATGCCCTTGTGTCGATAGTTGGTGCTTCAGTTTGAGTGACAGAAGTATAGGCTTTCCTTCATTAGACATAGAGCATATTACATAACGCAGGCTCTGAGTTTGGTGCCTATTTTCATTAAAACCATGCCCAATTGGTGGTTGTTGACTGATTAGTGATGATACTTCAATAATATCACAAGTAAAGACAAACATGAAGAAGATACTGGACAAATTCCTGATGATTTACAGTCATCCACTGGTGGTTTCTATTACCTTAATCATTGCCAACTTGTTATGGTGCATGGTTGTCCCGATTTCTCAACTCAATTTAGACAAGGTGTTTGGTTTTTTAAATGATATTTGAGTTGGTGTTTCTTTAGAACTGTCAAGATATTCTTGGTGTGGGATTGAGACACCCATGTATTTTAATTTGTATGTTTTTCCATTTTTCTTTTTATTTTTTAAATTGGTGATATATGCCACTGGATTGCCCCTGGTGTTTTTCACTACTTATTGCTAACCATTTGGCCACATTTTATGTTTGCTTTTAAATATGCAGACACTCCATTCAAAACTAAGCACAAGTTCAGATGTTGGATCCCCAAGCAAAGGAATCAAATCTGCATTGCTTTACGAGGGTTCCATCACAAATTTTGACTCCAGATTGTATGGATTTGACATTGGAACCTGTTTGGAGGTAATTGCTTCCCCTTTTAATAATGAGTTACTAAACTTCTACAGAGTTCATTCTTAGACAATATGAATAGTGGTTCTCTCTTGCCCCTCTTTCCCTCGTAATCGTATTCTTTCAACTCACATCTTAATTTTGTGAAGCTTTTCTTGTTATATATGTATACATGTACATGTAATCTTGTAAACCTTAGTTCTGGAATTCTGCATGGAACTTTAGGCCCTTAGTGGATTGTGCATGCATGCATGCATCTAAGTGGAGTGCACATGTATGCATCTGCATGTGTGCTACTGATAACAAGCATGCTGCGGCAAGTAGGTATTATAGATGCAGTCATGCACCACATATAATCTATCAGACAAAACAGTCCGTTGTCATGGCAAATATACCCATGCAACTTGTGCATTCCATGTTGGTGGGAAACAAAAGGAATGGAATCAGAAGGAAAAGAGGATGAAATAGGAATGGGAGACAGCAGATTGTTAGTCGTGGAACATGTTTAATCATGCTAAGAAAATTTATGAGAATATATAGATAAGTTTCTTAATGTACTCTTTATGTTGGAATTGTAAAAAATACACTTTATGAAAATAAATGCATGTGATGGCTGGAATTTGGAAGATTGTGAAAAAGATAATATGAACGAAGTGAATATCTTCATCCTGCCAATGCAAGTAATTGAGGGTAGGCAATATGGTTGCTCCATTGTTAATTGGGTCTAGTGGGTTCGGGTTACTGAAATACCCTCTCTGCATGCATGGGTAAGAATACTTATACTTCACCTCCACATACTCCTGCATGGATGCCCTTTCACCAATGCAAAAAATCCAGGGTACTCAAAGAAACTGCAAGGAAAGTGGTGGTTAAGAGATTAAAAGAAAGAAAATGAAGTTCAGATTTTCAAAAAGAATTGCACTTGTGAGCAGATTCTGAGATGAGAGGGCTCTTAACAGGGCTTTGAATGCACTGGGTTTAATTCATGAATTTTATGTAATTTAGTATATCAATATCCCGTATTTTTAAGTTGCGAATTGTACTATTGCACTCTTGCTGTGCATACTATCAGCATACTATATGTTGCAATTCATTCTGTTAGCACGTTGTATTAGGTTTCTTTGGCTTATTCTTCCTGATAAGTTGAGAGCCACATTGTATTCTGATCTGACAGAGTGATTACTTCTGCTGCTGAAATGCCAAATCGTCCGTTGTCGTTGTCTATGCCTTCCATAAACCCCAGTGAAATTATTAAAATTACGACAGCGCCTTGCTCCGAGAATATTGCCAATTCAGAGTTGAGTTCCACTTCCTGGTACCAATATTTATAGGCCCTCGACTTTTTCTATTTGACAACCCCGAGGTTTTAGTGAGCTGATCTTGAATTGACTCAGAAGGAAACCCTTACCTTTCCAAATGTCAACTGAATTGCTATTATATATACTTCCCATCTTATCCCTTCTTTAGAAGATCCCTTGAAATAGATCAAATCATGAGCAGAAAAATAGATGGCCTTCGAAATTTCTGCACAATATGCATTATAGGATGAGACTGTTTAGCGAGAAGTGCCACGTTAGATTCTTGGAACCTCTGAAATCCTGGCTTCCCATTCCACTAGGCAGTTTGCTGGAATCCTATTCCAGCCAATGTATCTTCTTATCATGGGATTTTCACTCCATAAGAAACAAGGTTCAAAATATCAGCCGAGATGTATCCGATTTGGCCACCACCGAGAAAATTCAAACAATACAGAAAAGTAAAAAAAAAAATAAGCAAAAGGGATGAAGTAGAGACCCAACCTGATGGATGAATCGCCTTAATCAAAGAGCCATTCTTCATCTTTTTCCTCTTCTTCTTTTAGCAAAGACCTAGCATCGTCAATCGGAGATCAAAGCCTTGCAGCAAACCTGGGCTGTAACCGACTGTTCACCCTGTCGATTTCTGTTTCTAAGCTTCACTCTCCCTCTCTCTCTCTCTTAGACAAAGTGCCACATCTGTCTTATTAATGTCTCAATTTTTTTTTTCTAACTCATGCTTTGTTTTTGATATATATGATCTATTTAGGACTAAAAGTTATTAAATTAGTACTTTTCCTAAGTTCTGTTTTTTCATATATAATTGAACATATAGTAAAGTACGCATACATACTGATCTTAGACATACAGAATGGCCAAAATGTTTGTATTTTTTTCATAAATTTTTAAATCTAAAGATTAATTAATATATATTTACATTTCTATACTGTTCATTGTTGGGATCTTATGTATTTTTCAAATTTAGAATTTGTAGATACACGTGGCAAATAGATGATTGTAAATGTTTTTCGGTAGCAACCTTATAATCAGTTTTCACTTGTTATAAATAATAAATTTTGGAAATACGATGTATGGATGATGATGTTTACATTTTTTAGAATTTTTTATATTTTTTCAAAGTTTTTTGGGCATTCTATCTAGTGTTTTAAACGTATCGGCCGATACTATGCGACAATCAATGTGCCTCAGTGCTCTGCGAGTCGATTTCCAATACTGCGACCATGAACCATGAAAAAATATTTCAAACTACGGATTATAGTTTATTAATACATCCTTGGATAGGCTGAATATTGATGTAAGGTGTGTAGGCAGTGTTAGAGCACCCTCAACTCAAAATAAATTGACTATAAGTGGAGTGACCCCTCAAGTATATAAACCTACCTTGGTAGTCCTAATTATTGGATGTGGGATAGAACTCTCTTAATACCTTTCCTCATGTGGGACTTGGGTTCGCATGTGGGGTCAACAAATAAACAAACAACCATACATGCCGGGATTCAAAAGGTTAAGAAACTTGGTCCATTGACCAATCAAGGCTCAACTCTGACATCATATTAGAGCATCCAACCAAAAACCAATTAGAAATATGTGGAGTGACTCAACTATATAAACTAACCTTGGTGGTTCTAATTATTTTATGTGGGATACAAGCTCTCTTAACACACAGAACTTGGAGCAAAGATTTTTATCACCGTTCTACTGCCATGTGAAAGCCGAGATTCTTTCTTGCATTTTTATCTATGGCCCTTTCAATGTAACTATTGTGGCATCGCTTTTAGATCTTCTACATGGTGATGGTAGGCCAAGGTATTTAGAATCAGCTTTCACTGGACTGACTTCCAGGAGACCACTCATAGTGGCTTTGATTGATTCACCATGTTTGCCGAAAACTTAACACATGACTTCTAGAGCTTTACTTGTTCCCCTGAAGCTTTACAATAAGTCGATAAGGCTTAATGATTTTATTCACTATGAGGTGTTCATGTACATAGCTTTCATGAGCTGTTCCTTTAAAAGTATTTGGGCAGGGATATTGGTAATTATTAGGGTTAGGGTTGATTATGGCCTTCTCAGCACTAGGGGGATGTAGGAGCTGTTCCTGAGATGGCAATTTAGTGCAGCATCCTGGTTGGGTCATTGACACTCATGTTTTAATCTTTGCTGGCATTTTTTTTTTTTGGCTGGGGTGGTTGATGGATAGTGGTGGGACAAATGCTCTGTGACATGCACATCTTGCCCTGCTCTTGGTTGATCTGTACATGACTGCTTATTGTTATGGCTAAGTACAATATTATTTAAGGTGTAAAGCGAACCAAAATGCTCAGGTCTCCTACGGCCTAGGCCTTCATCAAATTGAGGCGAACTATATAGAAACTAAGCAAATATTTTAGTTTAGTTACTACTAAGTATCAAGTTCCAACTTCCAACTTTTCATGTACTAAATATTCAAATGCAACTGAAAGTGTAAACATTTAAATTGTAACATGCATCTCAAATCTTAACCCCAACCAAAACATTGATATTTAAATTTAAAAAAAAAATGCCAAAAACACACCAAATCCCAACATTTGAAGCAAAATGACCAAAAATCAAATATCAAAAGAGCAAAAACCTAAAGCAAAAGTATAGCTCCACCAACAGTTAATCATTGAGCTAACAAAAACAGAGCTCCAAGAAACGCAGAGCTTCAATTCCATCTTAGAAGAAAAAGATGAGGAGGAGAAACAAAAGGAAGAAGTACACACACCTTGTCTCTATAGTGAATCGTTTTTTGGAAGAGAAGAAAAATAAGTTGGTCTAGTGAATCCCAACCTCTAGGTCATACATTGTTTTTCTAGAAGTAGCAGTAAATTGTTTGTGAAGAAGAAGAAGAAGAAGAAAAACCTAGGTGAATCAGGTCCTTAGGTCGCGACTTCAGTCCTCACGACCCTTAATTCTCAATCAATTCTATTGTAGAAATTTTAGAGTTAGACGTATATATGGATCAAGTGGCAATCAATTGTTATGACATGCCCAATTTTTGATCCAATTGATCAAATAAAACGGCCCATAATAGATCCAAAAACCAAAATAAAAAATTTACTAAAGCGTTCACTTTTTCGCTTCTTGCTTAAGCGTTTGACGCTTAATCTTCACTTCGACAAAGTTGGCTTCGCCTGGGATATTGTAGGCGACCTGGGCTCGCCTAAGCTTCGCGTAGGCACACTTTTAATAACATTGGCTCAATAGACATCATCTATGAACAGTTAATTTACCTCTATAATCTCAACTGTGTATGCTTTTGCATTATTGGATACTGAAAGTCGCCGCTGCTAAATATTCAGTTTTATAATATTTTTCTCTTCCTTTGATCTTAAAATATATTTCATGATGAGATTAAGCTATTTTTCCCTTGCTCCATTGCTATTCCCCAGATGATATATGACTACCATAGGCTACTAGCATTACTACCGTTATTGTCATTATATGACGTGCCAACAACTTTGTTATACCCAATTTAGGACATGAAACACTTTTGTTATTGGATACAAGACTTTCATGTATGCTCTGCTCCTGTGATAGGCTCAACTCAACTCAACAAATCTTTAATCCCAACTATTTGGGGTTTGGCTATATGGATCCTATTTTTTCATTGTGCTTTATTAAGCGTTATATGTTCTATTAGACCACAAGATATCATATTCATATCTTCTATTAGACACCAGCTATCCTATTCATATCTTCTATTAGATCACAAGCTATCATATCATTTTTAATTATTTCATTCATAGTTATTTTAGTCTATTTTTAATTTTTTCGTTCATTGTTTTTTTTAGGCTTTCCTCTACCTTTCGCATTACCATCAATATGTATTAAATGACTCTTTCATACTGGTGCATTATTAGGTCTTCTACACGGTTTTACGAATATACTCATTTTCTAATTCTATAATTTTCTTGGTTTACTATACATTCATCTTACCGGTCTCATTGCTCGTGTGATAGACCGTTTGCATTAAATTTAGGGTTAATTATAATATGCCTCCTCCAACTATGCCTTTTGTTGCAATCAGCTCTCTATGGTTTTAAATTTTGTAATTTGCCCCACTCCAAGTTTTCAGGAGATTTAATTGATTGACATTAGTGGTTGAAACATGAAAGTACCATTACACCCTCCATTTTGTACATTATTTCTCATATTTTTTTTCTTGAGATACCAATTCTATCTCTAAAAAATAAGAAAATGAAAAAGCCAAGAAAAAAATACATTTGTTCAACCCAACACCAACACACTATAACATGTTCACTTTTACCTTCACCTCAACACAACACCAACACTGACACACACACACACACACAGACAATTGTGTATTTTCAATAAAGTAGAGATCACGTAAATTTCTCATGTCTAACTTACGTCGGTTTTATAGTCTAAAATTAACTTTGGAGTTAATCAAAAAATATTCAAACATAAGGAGGCTATTTGTTAAAATTAAAACTTGAAGGGATGAATAACAAACTACCTAAAGTTGAAGAGGGTATTTTGAAATTTAACCCTTAAATTTAACCAAATGTATTACTTCTATATTTGATTGGGAAATTGTGTTGAATAGGTTATTGAACATATGGAGGAAGATGAAGCCTGTTTATTTGGTGATGTTGTGTTGACTTCTTTTTGCCCGAGGATTCTTGTTGTATCCACCCCAAATTACGAGTATAATGTCATACTCCAGAAATCTGCTCTGCAAAGCCAAGAGGAGGATCCAGACGAGAAAAACCAATCGCAATCTTGTAAATTCCGCAATCATGACCACAAATTCGAGTGGACTCGGGAGCAATTTGGCTGCTGGGCATCTGACTTAGCTACAAGGCACAACTATACTGTTGAATTCAGCGGAGTCGGTGGAGTTGTTGATGTGGAACCCGGGTTTGCCTCACAGATTGCTGTTTTTAGGAGGGTTGATACAACTCTGAAGAATGCAGATTCAACCCATAATTACGAAGTTTTATGGGAGTGGAGTCAATCTAACATGTAAAAGTATATTCTTTGAGAAATATAGACTAGTACTGCTGCGTTTCAGTGCACAGTTGTGGGTTTCACTATCATTTTAGTTTTAGCTATAGGCAGGTAATTCAACTTTGAGGATGCATAAGGTTCTGATATGAAATGTGTAGCTACATCTATCCGCTCGTTCGGCGCAGATCAATGCATTTTGGTGGCCTTTAGCCCGAATCGCAAATTGGTTCTCTGTCTCTCTCTCTCTCTCTCTCTTACACACACATTTTGGGAATGTATTTGGTGTGAGGGGCATTAGCCTTCAAAATGCACTTCGGAATCACTCCAGTTTTTCATGGAAGTTTTGTAATTACATGTTTGTTAAACTCATTGTAACTTGCAGAATTAAGACTGATTTGGTTTGACATGTTCGGTTCTTCCGATTGGAATTTAATTGCCACTTAAAATGATCTTTGTGAACCATTTGGTATGTACACGTCCAGAAGTTGCCTTTTTCTTTGTCAAAAGCATCACTTTTACACAGTTCGCAGCAAATTGGAGAATTTCCTAAGCTGAACTGTTGAGAACAATTTGAGAATTGTTAGAATAGTTTATGATTGTTTAGAACTTGTAAGATTTGAGTTATTAAAAGTGGGTTGGTTCTCATTCAAGGTTATTTGTTTTAAGGAATGAACTGTATATGATAATATTTCTGAACTTGTTTGATATTCAAGTCTGCTAGAAGTTTGATTCTGAATTAGGAGATCGTGAGTTTGAGCCTTAAGTTGGTTGAACTAGAGTTGTGAACTTGAATCTGATCTTACACAGAAACCAGGCGGAGTCGAGCTAAACTTGAGCTGCTGAGCATGTGAACTAGAAGAGGAGCAGAGTTGGGGTAAGAATCTGAACTTGGCCAATTAGCTCGAGCTCAACTTCTAGGGAGATACTAATCTGAGCGACAATGCCCAATGTTTTGGCAGCCCCGGTTCTTGCATCTAAGGAAAAAGACTTGGTCCAGAAATATATCTTCTACGCCCAATTTCCCAGTTATGGTGGATGTGGGGGGTCAAAGTCCCCAAAATTTTGAAAAATACTTAGTTTATTACGGAATATATGAAATAATATATGTTGAAGTCCTTCCATTAATTTCAAGTGCGGTTCAATGCTGCTCATTGTTCCATCATTGAGAAGGATATGCCACTTTTCATATCATTTCCAGTAATGCTAAACAGGGGTGTTAATATCAATTGGAATACGACACGACACAACTAAATCGATAAACACGAATAGTAAATAAGTTAGAACAAAGTTAGACACAGAATAACATGACTAGTTGGTATTTTAGGTGAAAAATAGTTATTTATAATTTATTTTAAAGTTTATTTACAAAGTACAGTATATGAGTTGTTTTAGACTTAAAAAACTTTTAATTAACACAAATAAAAATACAAGTTTGATCCGACCTGAAACTGCCTTGACTTTAAATAATACGACATGAACATGTGACTACCGAAGCGACACTTTTCCTCTCCCATAATTTCACAAAATAATGCGTAGTTTGAAGCCAAAAACTTAGGTTCCAGGTTCAAAACCTTCACGTAAGCCACCAGGTGGTTTAGAGAAGAAGCCAGGGTTATGACCTTATGAATTTGCAAGTTCAGCTCTAGCCCCGGTAATTTGTGATTCGTAAATGATATCGAGATTTGAAATTTACGTTGTAACATATATCTATATCTATCTATATATATATATATATACACTACCTTAGTTTTACCATGAAATTTAACGAGTCTCCATCCAAACTCATTATACTTAATTTTGGGCAGTCCTGAGTTGCTGAATAGTACCAGCTGACATCTTGAAGGCCTTGGTAAGCACTTCATCAGGAATGCTAGAGCCAAACAAGTTCTTAGGCAGATCAACATAGTCTGCAATAGAGCTTCCATAGGCCGAGACAGTCACAGCCTTGTTGGTCTTGTCAAAGTTGGCCTGGTAGTGAGGCAACCCTTTCGGGAACACGAAAACATCACCCTTCTGCAACATGTTCTTGTACAACTTCCCATTGCCGTCCACTGTGCCAACAGTCAGTGACCCGTCCACCACGAACAGAACCTCAGCGCCCCGGGGGTGGGTGTGTGGCACGTTTACGGCCCCTGGTGCAAATTTAAGAAGTTCCATTGAAATTCCCATGCCATTGAGGGCTGGAAAGTCCTTGATCGTCACAGACTTGTAGCCTATACCATTGGTGGAAGCCGGTGCACCGCCTCGTAATCCGGTGTAGGTGAAGAATACTCCATCAAGCTTGGCCGGATCAACACCATCGGGGACCGAAAAGTCGGAGACCAAATCGGGGTCGGAGGCTCGGACTGTAGTGAGAGAAAGTAGTGCAAAGGTGGTCAAAAGGGCAAGTGATTTGGCCATGTTTTTCTTTTGGAGGCTGTCTCACTATAGGGGGTGTTTCTAAGTGTTTACCTCTAGTGTGAGTAAGGAGACATATTAAGTATTTTCATAGGCAATGCATGAGAAGTGATTATGCTTAAGTGGTAATAGAGATGAATTATAAATTCAGACGTTATAAATTTGAATTTTGACAATCTCTTGAAGTCAGACCGTGAGAGATTTATCTTTAATGAATATATTAGTTCTGGTGTATATGACTTACCTTTGATCGAATTGGAAAGATAATTAAACAAGGTATATGTAAATTGATTCGGACACTTGAACCAAAAAAGGAAGTGTTCATCCTTATTGAGATGCTTTTACATGTAATCATGGTAATTATGAGGCATTTGTTGGCTTCACTCTCAGAGACCACTTTTGTTGCTGGTAAATCCACAAGTTTGGGATTAATGGAAGATTATTAGGAATCAATTATGCGAATGCTATTCTCTTTTAACCACAACCACCAGGTCATTTCTTTGAAAATGACAATATGGCCTCTCATTGGTTCGTCCTCGGTGCCCATCGGCGAAACCCGCCTTTTGATATTGGGGGTGAAATTCACAAGAATAGATATGATATAAGATAAAGTTGACTTCAAGGTCTATGTAAATCACACCTTTTAGAAATTATAATATAGAATTTTCATGATTGCGCTAATATATATGAGTAGCGCAACTATAAAAACTCAACACCATAGTCTTTAGTAGGTACTTTTGATTTAGACTGCTAATGTCCACTAATAAAAAATGTTAAAAATTAAATATAAACACCTATTATATTTGGTTATGTATTAGAATGGTAACCTAAAAACCACATTTATTATGATACCAGTAATATAAGGAAAGTAAATTTAGTGTTATTATCAAAAAATAATTGATGGCAATGGCTTCTGATATGCAACACTAATTTTAAACTTAATAAGCACTCCTAATTGAGTTGATTAGAAAGATAAAGATAATTTTGACCAAGAGACCTACCCAACAATGGCGTATCTTAATTGAAGCCAAATAGTGGGTCAACCCGGGTCAAATCCGGTTTTTTTTTAATGTAAGCCTTTCTCACTTTCTCTATCTCTCTAAAGCACTGTTTTTAAAATAGAATTGACCGAACTAATCAACCCAATTAACCATTTAACCGGTGCCTTAGCCAAGCCAGTTCTGAGATTGAATCGGTTACCAAATCCAACCGGACAAATTTTTACAAAACCGGTGTAAACCGTATGTTTCACTCAATCCAAGCGGGTCTTTTTTGCTTTGCATAAAATATTTGAACCGATTCATGACTGACATCATCACGTTTTATGGAAGCATAGTATTTTTTTTTTTGCAAATGTTTTCCGATGTGGGATGGGTGGTAACAGTGCACTGCTAGCCATTTTGTGTTATTGATTTATAGCTTTTTCTGGTATCATTATATTACTACTTATGTCAATCTACAATTCTTATTTGTGGATTGTTGATTTCTATTAGATTTTATAAATTGTCCAAAAAAGTAGGTGATTTTTGTGAATTTTTTTTTTGGGTGTTCTTATTTGATATACTATAGCATAAAAATGTTATTTTTGTAAATATTCAAATTTTTGTAGTATATTCATCATTATTAACAATATTTTTTATTTTTTTATTATACAATCGGTCCGATCAATTGAGCCAATGGTTAAACCAGTGAACTATTAACTTGGTCCCTCTGCCATATCAATGTCCAATCCGATTCTAATAACTATGCTCTAAAATACAAATTAATTTTATTTGCAAATTTATTGTAATTATAGTACGAAAATCACATATTTTTCTGTTAAATAGAAAACTATGAGATTCTATTTACCAAAAAAAAAAAAACTACGAGATTGAAAGAACAGAATAAGTAAAAAACTAAAAAACTATTAGTCACTTAAAAAACTTTATCGAACTGTACCTAACCTCATGGATATAGACATTCTTAGTCTTTTTCCTTTCACTACTTCGTGCTGCATTAATCATCCAAAAAAAAAAAATTCTTGGCCAAAGAGCCTTTGCTGACATTGATTGAAAATTCCGAAACCTGGACTTGAGTTGGATAGAACTGTTCAAGGGCCAAGGGTGAAACTATCCATAGAAGATAAAACTCTCTTTATCTCAAGAGTTAAGTAAATAAAAAATTCATACCCAAACCTCCAAGAGCCATAACTAACTTAGGAAACAAGAATTTCTAATAATTAATAGTCCTAGGTTTTGGCGAACGAAAGAAAGAGAGGAGGCCGAACACACAGGACGTAGAATAGACAAAAAAAAAAAAAAGAGAAGGGGAAATTGTAAAGAGGTACACAAAATTAGAGTTATTGGTCAAAAGATATATAACTCTTAATGCTAAGTCATTAAATCCTTATTTTTAGAATTTAATTGTGCCCAAATACATAATTTGAATTTTTTATGATTTTTTTTAACATATTTGCCCTCACTTAAATCATGCATATTTTTTTTGACAGTTAAGTTGATTTTTTATTTTGTTTTATTGTATTAAAGATTCCCTAATATAATGGAAGAATTATATTATCACAAAATTTGCATGTCTTAGCCATTTTGAATTTTAAATTTTTTTGTCATTATCCTCGCCATTAAA